AAATAAGATTAGGAATATGTTAATGTAAACGATAAAAGACCCACCAAGAGACAGAAAATTGATGTTATGTCATAATTGGAAAATTCCAACTAACACAGACTAGTGTCTGTAGCATGTATGAAAAAAAAAAAAAGTAACCTTCCAACGTTTCGTCAATTTAGGCATCATCAGGGCACAAAATAAAATAAACCTTATGGCGGGGCAACCGGGGCAATTGCATACCTATAGGGGCGTCCGTTGGGGGTGCTAGCCGATCTTCAGGGGCGCTCACCATTGTTAGAAATAAAAAAAATAAAAAACGTATTAAAATAATTAATTTTAGCCTACCGATAAGACAACTGTACTAGAGAAATGTTGAATGAAATAAAATTAAAACATTACATAATATAAAACAGCTTAAGAAATAAATTTACTTTTTGGGGTTTGGGAGAGGGTGAGATGACGTCATTGCCCGGAGCGCCGATTATCTAAGGCCGGCACTGATAACACCACTCAATGACATCCATTCGCAGACTCTTGATTCACATTATTTGGAACACCTTATGATTTGTGTCAAATTTATACAAAAATGCTTTTATAAAAAAGTGATTTCAATTATTCCATTATTAAAATTAATAGCTAAAGTACTTTTTATTTATTTAAGTTTCATTGTCTAACTTCTTTAACAAGAATATATCAAATTAAAAATTCACTTCGATAAAGTAATAATTTTTTTTTTTTTAAGAAAAAAAATCGGATTACTTTAAGGTACATCGTATAAGTCACCCATATTTTCCGATTACCTACTCCTAATCAAGGCTAGTTGCCTGAAAAAATAAGCAGAAGATATAACAATCCATCATGAAAATCGTCTGCCATGAAGGTTTGATGTTCCCCTTCTGGGTACTAAAGAGGGATTCTGATGGTTTTCACGATACTATGGCCATCTATAAAATAAAATCTTCTTACAAACTAGGAGCGAAATTTTCTTTAACCTTTCTTCCTACTGAATCCTTTCAGATTTGGATCCGGAAATAATAAAATATAAAAAGATAATATTTAATGAGAAATATATTATTATTGACGAAATTTTAAATTAAACTGAATGGTAACTGTAGAAATGAATTCCATAATAAAAAAAAAAATATGATTTTGAGAAACGTTGACGTAGATCTCCTTCTATTAACTATTTTATTATTATTCGAGGGATAGCTTTAATGTGTTAAAAGCTGATAGACTTACGTAGGTACTAAAGTACCTAGACTACGTAGAATAAGAGAAAGTACGTAGATTAAAATCTGATTAAAAACTAAAAAAAGAAAACTGAAAAAATAAAGCAATTATATATATATATATATATATATATATATATATATATATATATATATATATATATATATATATATATATATATATATATATATATAGAGAGAGAGAGAGAGAGAGAGAGAGAGAGAGAGAGAGAATTGAACAGTGGCGTAAAAAAGTCGTTGAACAAAACGGAATGTTTAAATCCAATAAAACAAAATCCTAGTAAAATACATTAGTCCATTGTACAGACCCCTTTTCATCGAATTATTAACATCCGCCTGAAACTTCGTAAATAGTTTCATCTCATCGTGATCTGCAGCTATTTCATTTACGAAAACTCTTGCAATCGGGACGTTTTCAACCTGGAGGGGGACAGACTTCGTCTATTTAATTAGGTACTAAAAACTCGTAAATATCCATTTCCTTTCAACTTGGATCGTAACATAATTTGATCAAAAAATCGATTAAAAAAGGTGACCTACAAAAATATTGGGCGATTTGCCCTATATAACCTCGTTATTTTGAAATTTTGGGGGTGTAGGTCATTAAGGGGTCTGTGCCACGGACTAATACTTAATTTACCTAATAAGATTTTGATGTCACATAATTGAACAATGTGTTAGTAGTATTTACGAAATCTAAATCTTGTGTGCCCTCTCTTTTTCAGCTCTACTTCTTTCTTCTACTCATCTTTTCGCAAGAGGTATCGAACTCCACATCTAGAAACATATTCCGAAACCATCACAAAAAACCTTTAAAGCCAATCATAGGAGTTTTCTTCTGAACAGTGAGGATGAAACTTGGGACTCTGTAGCATCGGCTATTTCCTGAGCCAGTTTTCTGCAATGTGGTTTAAGGAACGTATTTAAATCGGGTCAAATTTTCGATGTAGGTCAAATTTTCAACAGATCATTTTGTTTCAAGGCTTAATGAATCCGAAAAATGAAAAATTTTCGGTATTGGCCTATTCAACGAACATCTTTTGAACGAGTGACCGATTTTGTTGCATTTTTTTTTTTTTTTTGTTTTATAGGTTTTTGATCTTTGACGCTTCTTGTAGACTGTTGTGGGCAAGGGCTATTGTGCAATATCAGAAAAACGTGTTTTACAAAAGATATCGATGAAACAGTTCGCCTTAAAGTCTCTTTGATTTCCATATGAAACCAAAAAAAAGCAGTAAAAACTTATGTAAAGTATACATTTTATAGAAAATTATATTATAATCATTTGAAATATAAGCAAATTCTTTTCTGACCGAAAAAAAAAAAATCATCGAAATTCAAGTATTAGCAAATATTGAGCGTAAGTAATTGAGCGTAAGTAAATATTGAGCGGCGTAAGTAATCAACTACGTATTTATGTTTTAAAAGTATTTTAAAAATATTTTGATGGTGTTTCCATTCCATAGATCGTAAATTAATGGCCTTCTTTAACGTAATAATTACATTTTTTTTAAATAATTAAAATAAAGATAAAAATGATAAAAAAAGTCGAATATATACATTTTTATTTTTAAAACTGAAACTTAACACCAGTGACCCACTAGAGTAGAAGCGATTACTAATAAAAATAAATGAAACGTTAAAAATAAATTTTTTAAAATTTAATTACTTACAATTTAACAGAGGTGAAAAAAATAGTACTACACTGCCCATATTCTCTCTCCCTCATACACCCATGCTCACCAGATACAGAAATCGCAAGATTATTTGAATGTAGGCTGTATTATTGTCTTAAATGATTTTCAAGTGTAATTTTTTTCGAACATTCCTCCCTGCTTTGAATAGCATTTAGGCCTTACCTGCAATGCCTAAATGCAATACCTGCTACAACCTTAATACCCCACTGCATTTAAATAAAATATAACTAAGAAAATTTAAATCAATTTATAATCTAACATAACAGATTGTTAAGAAAGTGCATACGAATAAGAACCAACATTCTAAATTTTAATTGGAATTTCGTGTTAATATTTAATTTTAAAATTTATTCTACTATAAAAAGAAGACATTTCCAATGATACCAATTCAGCTTCCTAAAGAGATTAAGCCTCCTAACATAAATGAGCAATTTATGAATTAATAAATACCTATCTAGTCTCGAATAATGAAAATTAAATTATGAAGGATTATGCATGACTAAACTGCATATTATTAAGCATACAAACATGATTCAGGAGAACTGGTTTTAAATCCTTAATAGTAATTAATAAATAATTTTTTATAATTGAAAAACCAATGGAAAATATAATCTTAAAAAGAAACTATTACTTTTTATAAAATATTGGTAAATGTCACCAACTGCTGGATACCCTGGTTTTCTGCAGTTGAATAGCAACATAATAAAAATATTATCAAATATATACAACTATCTATTAGTATCAATTTTATTTAAAATATACTGGTTATTTCATTTTTCAAAAATATTACTAAAACATAATAATAATAAATGAAATACAAAAAATAGCAGAATTCATTTCCAATATGATTATATTTATATTTGTTTATTTAGAAATATTACATTCAGTCACATCAATATTATTATGATTCATAAAATAAATAAAGTCATATATAATAAAGAATAATATAATAAAAAGAAAATTAACCAATACGTGAAAAAGAAAACAAAACATAATTATTTCTAAGCAATGTATGCGAAGGAATAAATAGCCTATTCAGCTGAACAACCATGGAGTCAGGTAAATAAATGAAAATTAAGAGGAATATAATGTGAAAAAAAAACTGTTATTACTAAACTTAAAAATAGATGTGTTAGCTTAAAATTTTCAATAAGAAAAATAAAAAATCTTTTAAGAATTATTCTTAGGTAAATTACTTTAACCAATTATAAAGATATAAGTAATGTTGTTTTTTTCCTTTCAAAATATTTATTACTTTAATTGATTCATCTCATTCTTAGTCTCATATCAAAGATAAAAACTGTCTTAAAACAGAAATTCAAAATGCAAACAAAATATGTTCAAATAAATTTATGAAATTTTAGTTGTCTACCTTTATGATGAACTTGGGATGTCAGTGTTTTAAACAGAAGATACGTCAAATATAATTGTTTATATCACATCAACTAAAAAATACATTATTATAAAACTTAGTTCTTATTTTAAGGAGTGAACTCACTGAGTTTATGATTTCTGTTAAATATTTGAGCCAAAATTGTTCACTGCTACCAATAACACTTATCAATAAAATAAATGTTGAATAGTTGACATGATATAGCATAAAAATTACGGAAAAATAAATCAATGCTAAAAAAATTACCCTTATAATATTGAAAATATCAAAATATCATTATAACTATACTCAACTACTTAATTCCATCAATGCTTTTGTTTCAAGTTATTGTGAAGATATTATAATGTATTATTATCCCACATTAAATTTATTACACCAATTGGAATAATTTTTATAATAATTACAATATTTATTTGGAATCTAGAAATTCTTGATATTGTAGTATCTATAATTGGCTATTTTGCAGTTTTTATTGTTCATCAATATTCAGGTTTGTCAATTTTAAAATCTTGAAATATATTTTATCAATAATAAATTAAAATTTGAATTACCATTGATTAAAAATAAATTCAAGTGTATAACGGTCTCTGTAGTTTACGTCTGCAACTATGTATAGTTTCAAACATAGCCACTAGAGCACAGTTTTTAAAAATAATAATAATTAAGAATTTACGGCATATGAAATATCGTGTAGAGAAATATTTATTCTAATTTTAGATCTCCCACCATGACTTTTTTTTCAACTCTACATTTTAAGAAGCATTACTAACGTTCTGGCACCTTTCCACTATATAAAATTATCTCGGCTTATCTGTTAGTAACGGTGAAGTAGGAGGAAGATGTTAATATAATTATTTTTTTTATCATAATATTTTGAAAAAAATCGTAGACTGTTTGGAAGAAGGTTCATTGTTTATTTCTGCAGGTTATCCATGATTTACGCTCTCATGATTCTAGGTTCTGAAATAGACCTAATTAAGTAGCAAAGTTTCTAAGCCTCTAGTTTTGTGAACTATTGCAGAAAATCTTTTGTTATAAGAAGTCTACATGTATCAGACTAAATTCTTTGTCAAATGAAGTGTTACGTAAGGTAGATGAAGTGTTATTTTCATGGCTGTGTGTTTACAAGTAAAGGTTACAACTGCGAAAAGGGTGGGCTGTAATTAGTTTTAGCTCTTTACGGAAGACTGAAGTTTATTATATGAGACTGTACAAGTGACTGCTAGACTTCATCATTTTTTAGGAATGGTAATGATTATTATTTATTAATGGATTCCAGTAATTGTCATGTGATTATTTCCCTGTTGGTTAGTTCCTCAAATATGTCAAAGGCCTGAATGTGACATTTAGCAGACCTACCTTATCAAATCCAATAGCATTTAGCTATCCGACATTTAAAGTCTGCTGTTCCAGTTGCTCTTAAATTAAATAAAATTATTATGTATTATTATTCTTTCTAAACAGGTGGTTTGACTTTGGTTATTGTATCTAGTTATGAAACCCACTTATCTATAGAAAAAAGTAAATAAAATTGTTTACTTTAGATAAAACCCTCCTAATCAATTCAAATATTTAAGATTTATTTTGTGCTCACTGTTCATTTACTGATTTTTATTCTTTTTTAGATTGACTGGATTTTGGAAATATTGTATAATAACTATCGCTTAATTAAAAATTGATTTATCCAATGAGTGAACAATGTTCTGCAACGATTTATCCCTGGTGCTATTAAGGCACCGACAAATTGCTCCCTTTATGGTGGGAAAGTGTTTCATTACAAGGTAAACATTAAAAAGAATGGAAATAAATGATACAAATGTTGAAGTACTCTATGATTTTGAATATGCAACTAAAGATGGGCAAACTATTACTATTAAGGAAGGAGAAAAGTTACTTTTGTTGAAAAAAACAAACAGTGACTGGTGGCAGGTCATAAGAAGTACTGGTAGAAGACCTTTCTATGTTCCGTCTACTTATGTTCGCATTTTGGAAGGTTCTAAGGATAAAGTAGTTGTTGATGTTGCCAACAAAAAGGAGAAACCTAAGCTCCAAGCAAGCCCCGTCACTCCCCCTCACAATTTCACAGTCAGTGTCAATATCAAGCCTGGCCCCGGGGATGTTACTAAGAAAAAGAAGAGCTCAAGTAAAACTAAAGTGATGTTGAATTGTGACTCAGATAATGAAGTCTTATCAACTGATAAGGTATCTGAGAGATATGGTCAATTGCCCACACCTGATTATTCCATTGTACAAATGCCAAAACAAAAAGATGATACTACTGCAGAAGCTAATATTCTGGATGATAATTTATCAAGTTCACTTGCAGAGATGGCTCAACAGATCAAGTTCGAATCAGTTAAAATCAGGGGAGGAGAAAGGCTCAGGTATTCTGGAAGTTTCAAGACCGAATATGAAAAAAAGATTCTCCTTAGGTCGTTCTCTGGCAGCACCCCTGATCTCACAGCTGTTGATAATCAGGAAAAAGAAGAGAGGGATGTTAATCGCATTAAAAGTGTTGAAGAACTAAAAAGTGATCAGGAAAATAACATTGTGGTAAAAGGAATCAAACCTATAATTAATATCAAGAGCTTAGGAGATATAGCTGAAAAACTTGAGAAAAACATGGCCAAGTTTCTCAATAGCAACATGTCCATGAGCTATGTCGAAAATAACAATTTAAAGGATAGTACTGATTCTGTTGAAAGTGGAAGGGCTAGTGGTGAAACTGGTGGTGCTTCAAGTAGTGATAGTATAGAGTTGAAACCCAAAATACCTGTAGCCAAACCTCGAAGAAGTCTTCGACCAAAGGTAAGTAAAATAAAAAACTTTTAGTTTAATATGAATATATTGCTGAGACCTGTGTTGTAAAACTATTTAAAATTTCATTGGAACATTCTATAGCAGCAGGAAGAAGTAATATATGCTAACTGCCAAGAATTGATGAGGGGTGAGAGTCCTGCTAATGTTCCGGATTTACCTTCTGGCTGGAATACACAAGTTGATACCGAAACTCATCTAACATGTTATGTCAATGCAATAACAGGGGATAAGGTGCTAATTTAATTTTTTTTTTTGTTAATATTGATTAATAAAGTTATAACAGCAATATTAGGTTAACACTCCTCTATATGTGATGAAGGTTTTATAGAAACGCTAAATTTCAAATGTTCTTTTAGCATATAAATTTTTATTGAAACGCTAAATTTCAAATGTTCTTTTAGCACATAAATTTTAAAAATTAATTAATTGACTTAATACATTAACTGAAAAGAATTTTTTTTATGATAATCAAATTAAATTTTTATTGAAATTACATTTTTTTTCCGTAATTTGATTATATATTTTTTTTATTTTCTAAGAAATAGTTATAATTCCAACAGGCAAAAAAAAAAAAAAATGTTTTTTGTACACAGTTAATTTTTCTCAATTGATCTCATTGGACGGCTATCCAAAATTGCAGGGTCAGCATTGAATCCTTTATTGACCCTTTACTAGCATGTCTAAATGCCTTCCGGTTTGATTTTATGGCCTTTATTTAAGAACTTATCAGGGCATGACCAACCTACCATAGCAGAGGAAAACCTCTACAGTTAGAAACAGTTTCCTTGTTTAGTTTAAAAAATTATACTTTTTGTTGAATAATATTAAAATCAATTTAAGAAAAAAAAGTATTCCTCCAAATTTTATTTATATAACAGTTTACAGTAATATTTATTTATTATTACAAAAAAAAATGGTTTTTATGTCTCTTAAATATGGTTGTGAGTTAAATTTAGTTGAAAAAATTGTATATAAATTATTGAGTTGTGAAATCATTTTGGAAATTAAGCTTTTTTTATAGATCTTTAAAGGAATTAATACAATCTTCAATTTTAAAAATCATTTTAGTAATTTAGTTTTTGAGATAAAATTTGAGTTAAGTAATAACAATTATTGATGAGCAATTTGTATCTCACAATAACTGAATTTTTTTTTATTTTTCAAGCCCATCCCTAATATCAGAATAGTCCAATAATAACAACTTACAATTGAGACTAAATACTTTTCCAGAGAAAAATTATTACCTTTATCATATATTATTTAAATCAAATAATTTTAATTGTTGTATATTCAAAATATTTTCTGCTTGTTTATTTTATTTTTAATTACATACTTATGGTATAAATTAAGTAATGTATCCTATAAAAAAGCAAATACTTAAATAGACAGGATTAAAAATATTGGTTTGATTCTCGAACTTCAACTTGAAAAAGAAGTGTTTTTATTTAAAACATTTACCAAATAGCCATTTAATATTTATTTCAAAGTTAATATCATTAAATAGGATGATACCTTCATTGCATCATGAAAGAAATAACAATTAGTTATGTTTTGCTGAAAAAATTATTCTTACTTAAATGTAGATTTATTATGTTGTTTTTAATCATTTAAAAGGGAATTCCATTTTTAAGGAAATGGAATATTCCCCCTTTTTTCCCTGGAATCGGCCTCACTCCTTTTCCTGGAGTAATATCTAGAAGTAGTTGTTTGTTTGTTTTATTTGCATGACATTATCCTTATTACTTTTAATATAATTTTTAAATGGTAATAGCTTTTTCTAATACAGTTAAAACCAAAATATTATGTTGGTTACTAGTTTTGAACATTAATTTTATTACTTTATTGTTTAAACCAAAATCATTTGAAATTTTTATTGAAAAAATTAAATACTTTTCTTATTATCGATTTGATTTACTTATTTTATCAAGTGGTTATCATAATTATCATGATAAGAATATATTTATATACATTGATCAAGTGGAAATTAAAAAAAAAAAAAAAATTACTAACTGATATTTTAAACTTATCATGACCACCGATGCCTGTGATAGAAGAGGAAGAGATAAAGAGTCAGATGTCAGTTGGCAATTAACCTCTGGTGTCAGTCACGTTTTTTTAATTGACCCATAGAACAGTTGCTACTGTTGGATGTTGAGACATAGCCTATGAATGAGCCTAGTCATATCAGAATGATGATTCATTATCACAGCCCATCCCACATTCAGTACACATCTCAGTCTACTGCCAGTTCCCCATACCAAGCAGGCAGAACTGTGCCACTATAACTTTCGTTAATTATGTATTTTAATAATTAATTTTTTTCTTTGCCAGTTATTTAAAAAAAAATAAATATGTGCTTTGATCCAGTTTGGGAAAATAATCCTGCATATTGCTGTAGTTTTCAAGTGAGGAAAGGTCTTTTCAAGTCACTTTGTGATAATGCATTAGAATCAGCAGGGATGCTAATGGTTCAATCAAGGTTGGCGGCATTTGATTCTGATTGTAATGTTGCCATTTATGGTGATAAGATTGATTCAGCTGATATACCTCAGCCTGTCGATCCTGACCTGTTCCTCAATTTTATTCTCTACGGATTTGAACAATTGTGCCTTCAGCTTGAAGCCATCGAGCATCCCGAAGTGATTCTTCTGATGGATGAAGAATTCAAACAGTTGTGTGCTTCTGCTGAAGCTTTGTTGGACGACTTTGAATTAGAGCCTTCCAGTTTGGAAAATAACCCTGCAACTGATATCAGAGCATCAGTGTCAAACTTAGAACTGTATACAACAAACAGTGATTCAACGATTCCCTTAAGTGAAGATGATACCTCAAGTGAATCTAGTGACATAACTGCATGGAAGTGGGATATCTATGCTTCGGCTTTTGATGAATATGATTTTCTCATTTATAATTACAACTCGGATAAGTCTCAGGTATTTATAACAATTTGGAAGAATCTTAATTCTTGCTTACTGCTTAAGTGTCAGTTTGCTTAACTACTAGATATCCTATAAATTTAGAATTACCTGAGACCAGATTTTTATGCAGTAATAAGTGTTAAAATATGCAATGAACTGTGAAAAATAAAGTTAAAACACAATTCCAAAGTTATAAAATTATCATGGAAAGAAATATAGAAAAAATATTTTTTCCATATATGAGACAAGTATAATTATTTATTAAATTTCAAAACATAGATGTTTCTGAAAGAACTAATTCGATAAATTGGAAGTTGTTAGGTAACGTTGATTTATATTTAAATTATTTTTTATTTAAAAGATTATTTAAATTTTCATCAAAATCAATGAGCCCTGAAATTATTGAATAAGATGAATTCAAAGGTTCTTATAGAACGGCGAAAATAAATATAGATTGGATTGGATTCTGAATTTAACTTGTATATATATATATATATTTTATCCTAACACTGCAACGGCAGTAGACAGAGGCTCGACAATGAAGAATATATATATATTATAGAGATGGGTAAATAGTCGATTGATCAATTACATGGATGAAACAAAATTTTCAGGACTTTCAGTCAAGATATTTTTATTGGGTCAGCCAATGTTTTGACCCAAACATGTGGGACCTAAAAGTCGCCCAACCCAATAAAAATATCTTGATTGAAAATTTAGTTCCATCCATATATATGTATTATATTCTCTTAGCTTGAAATTATTTCTGTTTTTTTGTACATTAATGCTATTCTTAAAGGATATAGTCTCAGAAGTTTTTTCCTGTTCTATTGTTTTGCTGCATTAACTAAAGTTTTATTGAAACCCATTATTAGCTGAGGAAAACATAAGATAGGAGAGGACAATGACCTTATAACATTTTTTAAAAACACTTTGGAAGTAAGGGAATCTTTAAAAGTATAAATTATATGAATAACAAAAATAAAAGTCTATATTACCTCCAAATCATTTTTTTTTTTTTTTTTAAACCGATTTAATCATACTTAAATAATATAAAATATAGAAACATTATAAATTTAAGAAAATATTAGAAAAACATTACTACTTTTAAAAGCTCTGCATTAAATTTTTCTATTAAATACGGTTTACTGTTCAATTTTCTATCATTTAAAAGGGTTACAAGAATGTTAACTAAGTCTACCTTGTTTTTTAAAAATAAATTACTTAAATTTACTAATATAAAATTATTTAAAATCTAAAATAAAAATCCTTTTTAATTTTAGCAGTGATCTAACAATGTATTACTTATTTTTTCATCTTAATTAGACTAGCCAGTTTGTTCTAAGAACAAGTTTTATCCATTTCCATTTTAGTTATAAACAACTTCATATTTTTTATTCATTTGATGGGGGGAAAAAAGTCTTAAGGTTAGATATTCCAAAAAAGTTCATAATGTTATTGTACATAATTTTATCTTGCTCTTTCTTAATTTTTAGTAATTATAATACACATTTTATGAATATAATCAAGATTTTCATTTTTAAAATTAATTATTATGAATTCTAATGTTTAGTTAATTTGAAGGAATACGCTTTTATTTAAATAATTCCTCTTAACATTTCTTTAATTTTCACATTAACATTTCTGAACATCTTATTATTCATACATATTCTCTTCTGAATTGTATTTTTGTCTGAAGTTTTAATGAATTATTTTTTTCCCGGTGTGATCATTTCATCAATTAAGCTATTAATTAGTAAAGCTCTTAATTGTTGAAGATGACATAATGCATTCCTCTCATAGTGCTTTAAAAGTCAAAGATCTTTTTCCGTTGTTATAGATTTTATTACTTTAAAAAAAATATCAAATTTTATTATTTTATATTAGTCCACTCTATTATTAAAACCTTAAAACTGATATTAATTATATTTCTTTTTTTAATAGTTACTTATAGTTGGATACCTATTATACATAGGCATGTAAATATTAATCTAATATTGTCTTATGGTGGTTATTTCCGTGTGATAGTATTTATTATCAAACTTGTTGAAAAATCTCTTACTTTGTAGTAATTTGGAAAAAAATTATATAGTTCCATATACACTGCAAATAAGACTCCACCTATTAAAAAAAAAAAAATAGAAATAATTTATTATTTAAGTGAAACAAGACATTTGAAAACTTTAATACAAATTTAAATAACTTAGTTGTTTAATTGTGGCTTGATGTTACAGGATTGAAATTTAATTTTATAAAAAAAGATGTCTTCCTGTATATTCCATTTATTTTTCACTTCTTCGCAAGCCATTTCAGTCTTTTATCAGGCCTACTGATGGTAGTCTGAAAAATAAGCAAAACCGATTGTGAAAAAGTGAAAAATAAATGGAATATACAGGAAGAGAACGCCTTTTTTGTATAAAAATTAACTTTGTTGTATTTAAAATTTAGATTGAAAACATTGATGTACACATCGTACTCAAATAATCACGGTGAACTGTAGTGAAATGATAAATAAGTAATTAAAACCATCATCACCTAAGAGGAGTTTTTTGTATATATATTGAAAAACTTAGAATCTTATATCAAATGTTGTATTTTTTTATTTTTGTCAAATATTTTTAATATTTAATCCCATTTAAATTTAAGAAACCCATATAAAAAACTTTGTTTGTGGAATTTGCTATCAAAAGTGGAAATCTCCATTTTCACTTTTGTTTACTAAGTAACTAAAAAGTGATTTTTCCTCCATTTCGGAAATGTTTAGTTTGCTTGAGAACGCAATCTTTCCATTAACTATTCTATGTGGAAAAGAAATTTGTTATAAAAGTAGAGTACAGCTTTTGAAAACTACCAGATATAATCAAAGTCTTAGTTTTGGTCTAAGTGGAGATGCCCACTTTTGGTGGCAAGTTTCTGATATACAAGTTAGTTATTAAATTTCATGCATTCAAAATTATGTACAAAATTCTAAATCATTTAATTTTTTTTTAAACTCATTTAGATTATGAATTTTTTAAATTATAATGACGTGGATGTTGTTGACTATATATGTAATCAACTTTATGGGAGGTCCTTTCAGTTTATGCAACCTGTTGTTATTGAAATAAAAATCAACTTAAGAATTAATGAACTTAAATGAAGGAATCTAAAACAAATAAAAATATTTTTTAAAAATTCAAGATGGTATATTTGAACAATTCAAGATTTGAGCATAATCTCCCAACTTAAATTCTGCCCACAATTATTGTCAGTCTGCTCCCTCAAGTTATTTACTTATTAATGTCATTTAAGAAGTTGGTCAATGCACTGCATTGACCAACTTTGAATATGGTCAATAGACCCAAAGCACTGTAATAAATCCTCACATATAAGTATGTTTTGAATCTACTGACTGCACCCCCGACCATTGCTTATTTTTTAAAATATGTTGCCTTCTGTTATGCTATATGTTGTTGTCATAAATTTATCTCAATCATTTTTAGTGGCATTCAGCAAGTGATGCTCTTGGGAGAGTTTATTATTTTCGTGAAAACAGCTCGGAATCGTCCTGGACGCTCCCAACTCATCAAGCCCCCTCACCTGAACCCCCACCGCAGGTAATAAATTTTATTTTCAAAGAATCTAGAAAGATATAATATTGATAATATCTTTAATCATGGATTGTATAGATAATATTTACATGAATTTTCATGCATTAAACATTTTAAATTAGTATATTAAAAAAATTTAGGTTCTACGATAACTAGAAAAAACGAAATTGAACAAGAGATTAGGGTTAGACTGAAGGTGGGAAATGCTTGTTATTTTTCTGTGGCAAAACTACTTAGTTCACGCCTCTTCTCCCGGAACTTAAAATTAGAATCTATAAAACAATTATCTTGCCTACAGTTCTTTATGGATATGAAACTTGGCCGCTTACATTAAGGGATGAGCAGCGCCTTAAGGTTTTTGAAAATAAAGTATTGCATAGAATATTCGAACCGAAGAAGGATGAGTTAACCGGAGAGTTCAGACGGTTACACAACGCAGAATTGCGTGAACTGTATCCGGGTAATATAATTGAGGTAATTTAATCGGGGCGAATTAAATGGGCTTGTAAAATTGTTGGGCTTAGTAACGAGAAAATTCCTAAAAGGTTAATATTTGCTGTACCGAATGGTAAACATCCGAGGGGTAAACCGAAGCGAAGGTGGGAAGATTGCATTAAAGCCGATCTGAAGGGACTGGGTTTGGACGGCGAACGGTGGAGGGAGGTGTGTAACAAGCGATTGGTGGTGTCGGCATCGAACCTTCAGGTTTGCTAAGCCTTTTATTATTATTATTATATTAAAAAAATCTACCAAGTAAAGTCAGTATAGATTCCTCACTCGCCGTTTCAAAGTCAATGATTGGTTGTTCACAAAATTTACATGACTAGCCATTTTTGAAATGTAGCCTTGTCAAGAAAACCACTTTTGCAAAAAGTTTAAGCCAAAGTATTAAATGATATATGATAAAATTGATATGGGACCATCTAGATACCAACTGCACAATTTTTGAAATTGAATTAATGCTATGGCTATCACATGAACTTGACAACAGACACAGAACCATATTTGTTCCTTGGTTTCTAAAACGTGAGTGAAAATTTTCAATCCAGAGGATAAAAATTTTCTTCACTCTAAAATGAAAAAAAAGTTTTCATACCTTTGTGGAAAAAAAATTGTGTTTGGCCATCGAGATGTGAATGATAACAAAAAACATTAAATGTAGTACACCTAATCCTTATATTTTATCTGTACGGTTATAAAAACAGAAAATATAGTATGCCTAAAACTCCCAGTCTATCTCTACAATTATTCATTTTTCCTTGGTAAATGCCTACTTCTTTTTTCATATTTTGCATCCTAGTTGGCCTATTGTGGGCCATAACTAAATTATTAAATAGAAATTTTAGTGGATTCTAGAAATCTCACTGTATGGTTCATGTCAATTAAAACTATGTTATAGACTAATATTGTGACATATGTTCACGACTACAATCATTTGTGTTGATTATTATGAAATACTTAACGATCTTAAAAATTCCAGGCTGAAGAAATGGCTGCCATATTTAATAAGATCAGCAATATCGAATTTGGTCAGAGACGAATGAGGAATGCTAAAGCTTTCTCTATGATGATCCCAAACAAGTATGTTTTCGCTGATTTTTCACCTCTTACTTTTATTATATTTACAGTTTTATTTACATATTTTAAATAATTTATTCCTTTCGAGCAGTGGTTCTCAAAGTGGAATCATTAAAAAGTTTTATATAATTGAAAAGAAAATAGTGACTCCTGTAAAAAATGACATAATTTTTACCTATAATATGGCTGATTTATTTTATTTTTTAATTATTCCAAACATGTCCTGAAAAAAGTCAGATAATATTATATAAAAAACTGTTGATAAACACCCTGGCTACAGTTGTTTCTCCCTGCCCTTGAATTTTGAGTAATTGAGAGTTTTCAAATAAATACTTTGTCATATACACGAAAATTATGTATGTCGTTCCTTTTAATATAACAAATTCTTTGGCTCCTATTTGAGAATCACTGCTTTAGAGAAATATCATTATTAGTCAGTTTTGTAAATTTTATATTTTAATGTTCGGAAATTTTTAATTATGCATGTTTATTATTTTATTTAAACCAAACCTATGTGAAATAGGAAAGAAGAAAATGAGATGACCTCTAGCCTTAAAGGATGGCCTCAATTGTCCGATGGTCGAATGGTATGTAGATATCTGGTTCCATCTAAATCCTGGCTGTTTTTTAACTTAAATAATCACCTATTTAATACTTATATATATAGTTAGTACTGCAAATTGGTGTTAATTTAAATGTTTTATAAATATATCTCTGTATAAATTGTTGTTTTTAAATGTTTGAATGTATTATTTTTGCAAAATGGTATTGCATGTTATAATTGTTATTAGATTTTTAACTAGTGTGACTAGCTATATGTGCAGATTAATTATTTTTATTTTTAATCATATTTTTTTTAACCACAAATGTAAGTATTCTGAGACGAACTGTGAATCACTGTAGCTGCTTGCGATAATTCAAAATAATTTTATCATGTTAAGGAGTTATCATTCACTGTTTGTCCCTCAGAAAGAACTAAGAGGTGATGTTGTTGTGCAGCGTGTGATCTGCGAGGGCCCCCTACATTACACTAAGATATGCGAGAGTGGTAAGAGGGTTAGGAAGAATTGGACGTCGGTCTATGTTGTCCTTAATGACCTCTTCTTACTCATATACAAGGATATCAAAGCATACCACTCATCTGTAAGTACAGTCATTTTATTTAAAATTTAAAAATTTGATATTCTGTGTTTAAAAATATCGTGATGCTCATTTTTATGGTTATATGGTAGAAAAATGGTCCTCATGAGTTATGTGCATTATCACTGAAGAAGAAGGCTTGAAAGATTGTTATAATACCACATACCTTTGAGGATCATTTTTTTACTTACTCCTTTATTCCTTTTGACTACAGATTTATTCCTAAAAAGATTAGAATTTAATTAATTATTTGATGCATCAGCTATTTCACAACATGTCATAAATCTTCGAAGATTTAGAGAAGAATATCTTGTGTTTCTATGTTTCTTCTGGTAGGTTTACTTATTTCTATCTACAGCTCGAATTGAGCTTTGGCCTCCTCACCAAGCTTTCTGCTTGTGTTTTGTTCTTGTGTTCCTATTCTCCAATGTTTTACTTTCTTCCTGAGCTAAAAAGCCCTCCTATCAAAATCCAGTCTGTCATCTAATTATAGTTTGATAACCGTTTTCATCTAGGATATGTTTTGGAATATCTTCATTATTCATTTAGGCAATATGTCCGTATCAGCAAAGTTATTCAAATTTTATGAATTTCAATTGTCCACGCTTCTCTAAAATTTTTAATGATTTAATTTTCCTTTGCCTTTGTTATGATCTATCATTCAAAAGAGAACAGATCAGCATCCTGTAGAGCATTGGAGTTTTTATAATCCAAGTTTTTTATAATTTTATATAATTTAATATAAATTTTATCCCCACATATATTATTACAGTAAGGATCGAAATCGGTTTTGTACCAAATATAAGCTCCTGTTATCCTCAATATACTATGAATGGGGTACCGTTGGATTCAGAATTTCACGGAGGGTTAGCGAATCGTATTTTCCACCTTTGTTTTTCATTCTAAAATAAATAAAGTCGATACAAACATTTTGCTTGGCTTCATTACTGGAACGGCGGTAAGTCTGTAGGTCGTTACTGGACAAATTAGGTTTTGAAGATTTTGATGCATATAGCAACATGGCTCTGCGTTTTTAAGTCCCAAAAACATAATATTTTGGAGATAACATGACAAACTGGCTGTTTGCAAAGCCTGAAATAGCTTCTGTATGCATTGACAATCCTATTCAACTCCAAAAATATTGTTATTGGCTGAAAATTTTTTAAAAAATTTGGGGATCTCATTTCATCTCTTGTTTTTTTTTATATAAATCAACTTTTTGTTTTTTATATCTGTACCCCGGAGATAAACAACACCATGTCCATTTTTGTATTTGTTCAAAAGCCAGTGAACCATAACTTTGCGCTCTTAAAATTTGTTTCTTTGTTACTAAATCTGTACCCCAGAGGTAAAGGAAACAATTTCACATTTTTGTATTTGTTCAGGGAGCCAATTTTCCATAACTTTGAGATATTAAAATTTGTTTTAAAGTTACTGAATTATTTAATAAAAAAATGGGTATGGTATCATTTACCTCTGGGGGCACAGATGTATATATAGATTGGTTGGGACTCTTTTTATAAATAAATAAATCAACTTTTTCAAATTAATAGCTTTGAGATATCTATATAAAAATCATAATGTTGGAAAAGTCTGTTTTCGGTAACACATTATTTTTCTTCTGAGAACATTCATAGTGGCCAAACTTTCTTCTGAATTCAGCACTAAAAAAAAATTCTTCAAAAATAATCTTTATCCATCCTATGGGAGGGGGTCTACTTGCATATCTAATGAAAAAGCTTGGTAAATTGTTAATGAAATAGACATCTATGAATATTTAAACTTGGCGTAGTTGTCTTGTGCCTCCGCACCCAAATGAAACTCAATACTCTTTTGGATGTTCACATGAACTGTTGCATCTTACCAAGAGAGAGGTATCTTAATGTGTAGTGGAAGGCACCCGACTGCTAAACTAGTTTTAAATATTTGAATACATAAATTTTTCTAACAATCTTCCAAGGTATTTAAGTAGATAAGGTAATGTATTACCTTTGGCTTATTGGTGTAGTAGTTATTTTTTTAAATTAAATTTTTTTTTCTATTTTAATGTTTTTAATTTTTCAAGTATTGTCAATTTATATTCATCACATATAATCAAGAACTTACATATGATATACTATAAAATATTTTTTCAGTATTTTGTGCTCCAATTGTTTAGAAACGTTCATGAGGTTTCACTTAGTAATTTGAACAAAGTTAAAAACTGTTCGAGTTGTTTGCTCAAAAAATCGTTACATACCTTTTGTTGGACAGATTGAACACATCTCATATAATTATTTGTCTTTGTTTTGAGCCCAGATCGTTCCTAAACGCTCACAGGATCTCATTGAATAATTTTAGCCATCAAGCATAAAAATATCTACACGTGGTATTTTAAAAAATTTACAATTGGTTAACAGTTGCCCTCCTGGCTTTGCCTTATTCAAGTAAAAAGTAAACAACATATCAACTGTTCTTTTGGACCATTACTTCTAATCATTGAAGTTCATGTTATATTAATTACACATTATTTAGTGTTGATATGTAGCTTATTTTGAAGTAAAGGCTTTTGCTATACTCCTTTTATAATTCTCCATGAAATGTTCTTTGTCATATATTATTTGAAAGTTTCTTCTTTTATTTTATTGAGTTATTATTTAATTTTTTACTCCAATTGTAACTACACAGAAGCAATGCTAATAATAATTGAGGTATTAAGTTGAAAACATTGTTTTCCTTTTATATATATATATATATATATATATATATATATATATATATATATATATATATATCTGATTTTAATACTTCATTTTAAAGAAGAAATTTGTTTGACTTCCGTCCTACCATTTTTTAATTTCCCCGAAGGGCTATTATTTGTATTCTAGAAAATCTAGCCAAACTTTATTGTTTAACAAAAAAACAATAGAAACTTTTTTTATTTGTTGTTTTTTTTTCCGTGACCCTTTCGATTGTATTTAATATTTCAAAAAATACATAACTTTTATAATAAGATATTGTTATGGTAAAGTAAAGGCTTCATTTTTTTTATTAAATAATAAATCTTATGATTACTTAATATTATCAAAGAATACAGGACAAATACGTTGACGTTATTATTATTTTTTTCCATCGATTTATGTTCAATTAATTATTTAAAATTTTGTATATATGAATGTTCTTTCTAAACTTTAATTTCCTTTTACTGTTTAATATTTCAAAATTTTAATTTACATTTATTTCAATTAATTAAAAATTAATTATTTGTACTCATCTTCTTTTCTAAAATATATTTAATATATATGCGAATATTTTAAAATTTATAATATTGAAAAAAGTTATTGTTATTGATTTTTTTAATAAATAATTTTGTGAAGTATTTTGAGCGGCTTCTATTGATCAATGAAAGGTCATGTTGACCTATCCCCTATGATTTGTATTAAGGATAGCATCTCTGATAACCTTTCCTGCTAATTATTGTAAGCATTTCTTTCCTATCTTACTTTTTATTTGTTTATTTTTTAATATTTCTAATAATATTGTTATATCTGTTATTACCATTATCCTGAAAATGGCTTTACATTTATTATTTACTATTTTTTTTTTATACTATAAAAATTATTTATTAAATTTTAAAAATTCAACAGAAATGTTGGTGTTTATACATTAAGCCGTTGATATATTTTTGAATTTTTATAAATTACATATTTTATTCGTTAATAACTATGAGAAAATTTCGTGTTGACCTCACTCCATTATAAAGAAATGTTTGGTATATACCTTTTTAGTTAATAATTATTTAGTTATATTTTAAAACCAGCCACCTCCGTTAACATATTAATTATTTTTATTGTTTTTAGTCAAAACATTAAGTACTAGATTATCATAATGTTAAGAAGTTTTATTTTGAAAACTGTTAGAACATATCTCATCAAAGCGTTTTCGAAAAAAATTATTTAACCTTATCATAATTTTACACCCAAACTGTTTATTAAAAAAAATAAAATTGAAAATTGAGTTGGCTGGTTTTACAATTTTATGCCTAAAATTATGATTGATACAAAATATAGGTTAAAAAAAAAAAATTAGGTAGTTTCAAAACATTTTTGAAATTATTTTCAATTCACACTGTTTTTATAATATCTACATATTTTACTATTTTGAAATTTTCTTTAATTAACCTATTAAACCTTTCTTTTTCGATTTTGTTAGTTACATATTTTTTTTTTAATTATTTCTTGTCCAATTCAGAGAGGACACCCTGAAGTGACTTTGGATCTGAATGGTGCGGAGGTGAGCTCTGGTGAAAAAGTGTCAGGAAGGAAACATGTCTTACTGTTCAGCACCCAACAAGAACTGGGCCACAAGGTTGCGCTTCAATGCGAGAACATTAACAGCGCGCTACATTGGGCCACTACCATCCAGCATACTATCAATAGTCTTGTAAGTATTGTTTATATATATTTTTAGTTTCTCCTACATACCATATACCAGTTATTTCTCACCCTTGTTCCTGTGGGCGCGTATATTGCGCTTGAATATTTCGATTTGTAATAAAAAGGCATTATTTTGTTATTTTTATTGCCAATATAATGGGCGGTCCCTAGAGCATGGTTTTGGCCTGTAGAGAAAGTAAGACCGACCTAGCCCCTGACCATAAGGCACTGCAAGTAATTTAAAAAACTACCTGCAAGTAGTTTAAAAAATCTGGTGCACACAACACACAACTCTCACTTACCGCTCAACTTTAAATAGAAATTATTTTCTAGCCATGTTGGGCTATTATACATTTTTTTAATCGCATTTTTAACCAAGCTAAAGCTAAATGCTTACAGCTAACTAACAAATCATAAATACCATTAAAATAAAAAAGTCCTATTTATTATATCACCGGTTGATTATGGGTTGTACGATCCATTGATTATGGATTGTACGACTATTAGTTATTAAACTGTTATTTTCCATTGCTAAGTTTCCTAAATTGGAATTGAGCGATTTCCATTATCTGTCATAGACAGGTCAAAAGTTGTCACACTAATTGGAAGTGGATACTGATGGAATATCGCAAAGGGTAAATCCATCTAATTATTCACTAATTTAATTTTCTAAAAGGTTACATGATGTATTTTCAGAATAAACAGGCTATAGATACCTAATTATTTAAACATAATATCAGATCTAGAGTTATTAAACCACAGTAAACATATTCAAGGTTATATATATATCCATGAAATATTTTTATTTTTCACTTCTTTTTTCGCACAAGTACAATGAAATATTGTCTTAAACAGTGTCATTGTCTTGAATCCAGGGATTTCAAATACTTTTTCAAACTTAAAAAAAAATTAAAAGTTTACATATAGTAAGAAAATTTCATTTAATTTCCTTGAAAACACATGATTTACGTTAAATAATCTTATATTTCAGAAATTATTATTTATATTTTTTTCACCACTCTCCGTTACCTTCTACAATTTTCTATATCAGATATTGTTTGTTTATTTTAATTCTCCGCTTTTCAACAATATCTTATAATATGTATACCTTCTGACTATTATTTCCGGATATTCATTTTCAGTTTGGATATGTATTTTTCTTTTTTTTTTTCTCCCATAGTCAATTATCAAATTCTTTCAAAAAGTTATAGTTAGCATTTTTTCATAACTCCTAACAATGAGAAATAGTTCTTAATTGTAATAAACCAAATTAAAGGTACTTTAGAGGAAGACATCATAATGTTGGGATTTCACAAAGGGATAATTATTCAATAATTTTATTTTCTAAAAAGTTTCATGACAATTTTTCAGAATAAATGGACCTAATTACACTACCTAATAAACGGACATTGATACCTAATTATTTAAATATAATATCAGGTCTAGAATTATTAAACTACAGTAAATGTATTTAAGGTTATAAAGATATGCTTTATATATATCCATGAAATGATTTGATGTTTCACTTCTTCTTTCACACAAATACAATGAAATAGTTTTTTTAACAATGGCATTGCCTTGATAAGGTAGATTTTTTAAAGACTTTTTTCAAACTTAAAAATATTTTAAAAGTTTACATTAAGTCAGTCGATTTTATTTAATTTCCTTGAAAACATGTTATTAAAGTTAAATAATATTAGTTTTCAAAAATTATATTTATAATTTTTTCGCCACTCTCCGCTGCCTTCTACAACTTTCTTTTTTTTTTTTTTTTTTTTTTTTTTTTTTTTTTTTTTTTTTTTTTTTTTTTTTTTTTTTTTTTTTTTGTTCTTCCCTACCTCGCCGTTTAGGCTATACGGGATTTTCCCGGGCCGGAGGGTGAGGGCGGGGAATTTAAAATCCCCTCTGGCACCGGGATGCGAACTCATACTTTTCTTGTCTCTCAAATCTTCATATATCTGGTTGCCAGGCGACTCGCGGTGCAGTGCACACGCTTTAGCCTATTCAGCCACCCCGCCCCTCACTTTTACAACTTTCTATATTAGATGTTGTTTTTTTGTTTTTCTATTTCTCCCTTGCCTCGCCTTTTAGGCTACATGGGGTTTATCCCAGGCCATTGGAGAGGGCAGTGGAATTATTCCAGACCTAAAGTCCCCTCTGGCACCGGGTTTTAAATTCGTAACCTTTAGCTTATCAAGTTGTATTTTACACATGTGTTAGCCTTCTCAGCCAACCTGCCTTCCTTTAGAGAATTGACTGTATATGATGTAGATAGGCAAGCTGTAGTTTATAAAAGTTTATGTGTAGCATTCATATATGCAGCTCTTAATGATAAAAAGGTTCTCTATCTATGGTATGTATATATATCATAATAACTAAAACTTTTCAAGTTGTATGATCAATAGCAACTGCATTGGTTTAAATATAAAAATTCAATTTCAGCCAAAAGCAACCGAGTCTGTGAGGAATGCAAAACTTGGGATGATAACTGAAGGGGCCTCTCCTGAAGATCTTTCTAAGAAAGGTGGAAATATAGGCCGATCTAAATCTGTTAATTGTAGGTTAAAATAATTCATTTTAAAAATTCTTCTGTTATCATTTTATTAATTTTCATTAGCCTAATTTCTTTTTTAATTATAATTTGATTTTGTTTCTAGTTAAAAATAAAGATGACAGCATGGAAGACCTAGGTGTAAGTAGTGCAGAAAGGCAGGTGAAAATTAAAGCAAGACTGAAAAAGTTCTTCCATAAACGTCCAACTATGGAATCTCTTGTGAAGAAGGGGATTTGGAAAGGTTAGCTTAACACATTTATATTAATTTATTTCATTCCATTGTTTAGTATATTGTTGAAATTATTTGGTTTAAAAAAAAAAAGAAATGTTTGAATTTTCTGTATTTTTTCAATAGGAATTTTCCTGCCTCGAGCCAAACTGGACAAGCATATGTCGATATTGCGTATGTTAAATTTAGTTTGTGTTATGATATTTTATGGTGTGATTGTTTTTCATACAATGGCTGTGTCCAGTTATTTCAATATTGATTCAGTGATTTATCCAGCTTAACGTATCTTCAATTAACTGTGCGGTTGACAGTGTGAGCATGGTGCTAACACTTATATGTGTGTTTTATTCCTTTATATTCTCGGTAAGAATAATATCTTGCATTATGCTTATCTGGTTGCAAATGTGACATTAATAAATTATGAATTAATGTAATCCAATTTTGTTGTGTTATAAAATGAGTGTGTTCCATTATTTCTTACATCTGTTCAAACATACAAGTTCTCTTCTTGTAAAAAGTTTAGAGCTTTTTAAAAAATATATGTCTAAAAGAAATATTTTATCTCTACTTTTAAACACAACATTAAAATGTAGCACATCTTGAAATTGATTATGAGGACTTCTATTCTTAAGCATTTTCATAATAAATAATAATTAGTCATGTTAGAAAACTTAATGTTTCTTACTCTTCAAAATTATTTCAACTATTCAAACTAACTTAAGAATAAAAGTTTTTATTTAATCTATTTAATGTCAGCCCAAAACATAAATTTCATCCATTTCAACCAGATACGTATTGAATGTCTTCTTTGGTTCTATGATATTACCGGGCTAGTATTAACATTTACTGTTATTTCTTATTTTCAATCTTCTTTGGCTAAAATCTTACAAAATGTGAATAAATCTTCCACAAAAGTTAATAATATCTTCAGAGGTTGAGTAATTATTAAATAAAATAATTTTTGAGGTGAAATCTCTGATTGTTAAAGTTCATATAACATCAAAGTACTCTAATCATGAAGTCACATAAACATTATTAATTGATTTTGAATTTGTAGCTTTCACTGCCCTTCTGGGATATGTGAATTATCTTATACTTTGTATTGATAAATTTAAAAAAAAAAAAATTTTAAATTATAACTAGGACTAGGGCTGGAACTAGGAATTTTTCTTGAACTCTTCAATTAAAGTCAACAACTTCGCAACACTGTTTTATGTGATACATTTCTATCATCATGTCATAACATTACTTCATTTTATGATTGATTCAATTTCAAAACTATCTAAAAGCAATTTTCATTAGGATTTTTCACTTTGGACAAATGCGTTCTAGTTCTGGCTCTGACTGGGAGTTTTTTATGTTGCCTCTGTTGAAATTGTTTTGTGTAGCTTTCAATATTCTACCTGTTGTGTGATAATGTGTTGTAATAGTGATATGGTTCTTGTACAGAAACACGTTTTGATTTCATTTTTTCTGTGTATTGAAATCAATCTACAGATACAATAATGTTAAACCATTCAATACAGGGGATGTACCTTGCTCTGTCATACATATTGTTACAAGGAAATATATATAGATTTCAACGGAAAAATTAATTTATTCAAAAATATTATCAGAAAATACAATGTATATAGAGAGTAAAACAAAAAAGAAATTACTCAAAATGTTCCCCTTTTGCCTTGACACACAGGCAATTATATCATCAATAGCACTTCAACGCAGCACTTCTTGAGGAAAGCACTCAACTGCTCGGACCAAAGATTGTTTGTGGCTTTCCAACTTAGGGTATGCTCTGTGGCATGCCATCCTTTCCAGTTTGGTCCAAAACCGATAAGCTAGGTCAGGACCTCCTGAGGGCCAATCCGAGACAGAGATGAACTCTGGAATGTTCCTTTGCAGCCACTGCTGAGTTGACCTGGCCTTGTGAGCTTGAGCGGAATCCTGCTGGAAAACCCAATGACTTCCATCAAACGGAGTATCATTTAGAGGCTTGACAACAAGTTCCAAAATATCATCCTGATAGTGTTTAGCAGCTGTTTTTACTCCTTTTTCACAAAAATGGAGCTTTGTGGTACCATCAAAGTAAACTTCCCACCAAACCATCACTAAAGAAGGGCATCTAGGCTTCTTTAAGGCTGTGTGCGTACACACGATCATTTTGGGGATTAAATCTTTCTGCAGTTGTATACATTTACTCATCGTTAAACAAAATCTTTCGATGAAGACCATTGGTGTAACAGCCAAGGAGCACTTTGCATCTATCCACTCGATTTTTTTTTTTAGGGAATTGGTTAGCCTTTGTTTTGTCATTCTTCGCAATGCACCCATCCTAAAGTCACTTTTTATTATGCGGATCATTGATCTGACCTAGATTCCCATTTCCTGAGATGTGATTTGTTGTTTTTGAATGGGATTTCTTTTGATTTGAGCAGCTACTGCTCTCACTGCATTTGCCTTTATCACAGCCCGGTCGAGGTCTGTCTCATACAGATAGGATCTCATTATATCTATTTATAGTGTGGTACACGAACATACCCAAAGGTTTCAAAGTGTTCAAAATCTCTGACCTGCATTTTCCAACTTTGTGTAAGGCGATCACAGCTATTCGGTTTTCTTTATCACCCCACTCCATGTTAACTGAGCAAAAGAAAAATACAAACTAATTGGGATTATTATCCTGACATGTAAGGAAAATAACCTGATAGAGGTAAGGATTATCTAAATAATACCCAAGGATGTAAACAGAGTTCAACTTTTGTAACTGTATTTATGGCAGAACTAGGAATTGCCTAACATTCAAGACATATTACATAATAATTATTATGGGTGTTTCAGAGTTAAGTGCCCAAACTGCAAAATTGAACTAAGGACCTCAAAACAAGAAAAAATTTTCACACCTAAATTTTTTCGTTGTTATGAATTATTTACGTTATATGAAATAAATAAAACCTATTTATTTGTTCTAACTTAAATGTGAATATTAATACAGGCTCGCCATCTTTCTTCAACAGCAGCAGTGGCTGAACGGCACTGGATATGTGTTATTCTTTAACAAGATTCAATTATCCTTCTTCATAAGGAATTTAGGTCATTGACATTTAATTAATAATGTAGTTAGTAACAATGAATAAAAATAAATAAATAGATTTTATTTATTTCATATAACATGAATAATTCATAACAACGAAAATCTTTAGGTGTGAATATCTTCTAAACAAAGCGTTTGCGGACATACCTTCAGAGGAATTTTTTTTTCTTTTTTTGAGGTTCTTAGTTCATTTTCGCAGTTTGGCCACTTAACCCTGAAACACCCTGTATATTATTACCTTTTAACACAAACTACTTTCTTTTTTGTCAACACTAAAAAGAGTGCTATGAAATATAAAGAAAAATTAAATTAATGAATTAATTCATCCCAGTCATCAAGTTGGTCAGATGTACTCTCATTAATTGAGTAGAGACTGAATATAAGTCCTCATAACAAATGGATTCCAAATATTTAAACTAATACCTTCTATGAACTCATTCTCAGTGTCTTTATAATACTCCATTTGAATAAAATATTACTTTTAATTAAAATTTGTTAATATGTTATTCTAGTTCGCGATACTAAATTATTAATAACATTGTATTACGAAATAAATGTCAGAATTTCGGTAAAATTTTATAAAACATACTTTGACATAACATAAATACGTTTCATCGTGTTTTAATCGTCGTGAATTTTTTTACTGAAGAAATCTTCTTTTGCTGACTCCACCTCTTGATGTTTTGAAATATTTCTTCCCTCTCTTACAAAATGATCTATTGATTGAAAAGAGTAGTAATCTTATTGAAGTGAGTAAGGAAGAGGAGAGTAGAGGCCAAACCAGAACTCAGAACTTTTTACTGGGTATCTTTGAGTGCATGAGATCATGATGCTAGATGATATTTTCCTGGTGTATCACTGCATTGTGTTTAACTTGTGTAGCATAATCTCTCGAATTTTCGACAGTAGAGTTTATCATTTTATTGGGTTTTAAAAATCCAATATAAACCGCACCTCGCTTACTCAATCAAACATCAATTTTGGGTTATAAGCCAGCTTTTGGTTTTGGAACTGCTGTTTCTTTTGGAAACTGACATTTTCCCCTCTTCTTTGGGTTTTTATATAGAATCCATTTTTTGTCTGCAATAATTATCCTATCCTTCAAAAGGGTTCTTCTTTCATTGGGAAAGAAATTAGCAGCAAGGATAACCACTGTCGGTTATTTTTCATTTAACTAGCAAGAAGAGGAAGGGAGTGGCCTATAGTCAATTCAAATAATATACTATGCCACAAATGTAGCAGAATACACTTGTTCTTGATTAAACTCGTTTTCTACTTTTTAGTTTTTTTAGTAACTATAAAATCACTCATCTCTTGGAACATTCCAGATACTCATTTGAAAAATAATAAACTCTCTTAAAAGCTAAACTAAAAAAATAAATAAAAAATAGTATGGTTTAATGCAAGTTGAGAACGAAAACCATGATTGCATATATACATTTTTTTTTTATTAGTTGAAAATTAATACATTCTGTCACATTGGAGGGCACTAACATTAGGAATACATTAAACACTTACACAGTATGTGCATAGAAATGATAACTAAAATAGAGATAATAAAGAAAAAGAATTGTAGAAAATAAAATAAGAAAATTTATATACATATGTACAAAAAAATGAAATAATAGATAGAAACTAAATGTAATTAAAATAGATTAAACACATTCACATCTATATGCAACATTTACATTCGCCCAGGGGACTCTGAGTCATGCTTTGCCCTCCAAATGTGGAAGCCAAAGCAGGACTCCAGGAGATCCCAGTGCTTCTCTCCCAGCTGCAGCGTCACTGGTATTGGAAGCCATTGGAGACTGACAGAGGGCACTAGAGCAACAGACGCTCAGGACTTGAGTGGAGAATCTGGCCATTGCCAGTATACATATATTTAAGGTTATATTTTTGAAGCTTTGACTTATTTGAAAACCGTATTTGAAGATAATATATTCCTTTTATCACATTAATATCAAAATAACATTAAAATTGAAATATTGTGTATGATTTCTATGTTTATTTACTTAGCTTTTTAAAATAATAATTGTTTGTAGTTTATTTTATTTTTTATTAATTTGTTTCATATTTCAGGAAATGTTCTTCACATCATCAGAAACATATTAATTACATCTGTTGATCCATCTCTCTTTTTTTTCTGTACTCCTTTTGTCATTATATAAACTTTCTTTGTTACTTTTCTATAATTATCCATGTTTGAGAGCAACATATATATTGTCCAACAATAGGTTACATATGAGAACCTTGTTAGTCGATACATTCATTGCTCCTGAATATGTGTAGAAAAATAACGAACAAACGTTATTTATTGACAAAAAAAACAAAGCAAAAAAATGTAAAGAAGAACCAGAAAATGAAATGGCATGTTTTTGATGGTGGTAAGAACATTTCCCGAAAGATCAAACAAATATAATAAATGAAAAAACACAAGAACGTTATTTTCACCTGTAAAGCAAGAAACTTCACAACAAAAGAAAAAAATAAGAAGCCATTTATTAATTCCGCTTTATTAACAAAAACATTTGATTTCAGACGAACCTGTTTTCGGTTGCTTCTTGGAGGCTGCGTGTAGTTCTTCAGATTCAAGTAATCCAAAAGTTCCAAAATTTGTACAAAGGTGTATTTCTATTATTGAAAGGTTGCCAGAAAATATGAAAACTGATGGTCTTTATAGGGCTTCAGGAAATCTTTCCCAAATTCAAAAAATCAGACTGCAGGTATTTTGATGTTTGAAAAATGAGAGAGATATGAGCATGAAATTCTGGAAGTGTGAATGTTGCTTTTAGCTAAGTGTTATATGTGCTTAGATATATTTATGTGTACATAATAATGTTTTTAAAGAATAATATTGATAGTATATAATGAGCATGTTCTTTTTCCTCAATTTTATAAGCTTGCTCTTTTGTACATACTTTTCCATAACCTATATATATATACATATTTATTCATAAATAATTATCAAATGCCTATTGAAATAAATAAATAAAGTTAGGTTATTTATATATGTATCTATCAACTTATGTTTGTAATAATCATTTGTTTCTATAAGATATAAATTTTATTATAGAGTGTCTTATTATTGTGGTTCATAAAAAATTCCATTTATTAAAGTAATTTGATGGATATAAGTGTAGGGCAGGTATTTTAACCTGTCTTTTTTTCTTGCTCGTTATATACTGAACAGGAAAGGTTCTATAGAACGTTGGTGATAATATTCAATAAAATAATAATATACTATGCAAAAAACAAAAATTTTGTTTTTGTAATTCATTATATAATTTTCTTAATAATAATAAAAAATAAGTCTTATCATTTAACAGAAAAAGTTTTACATTCAATTGCATGGATGTTATTATTCAAATAAAAATCAAATTTTTGTTGAAGATATTAATTCTTTCCAGAACTTCTCTATCAAACACAAAGCTCTTAGCATTTATACTTGCTCTTAGTTATAGATTACCAGCCCATTTTTCTTGAAAGAATTTATGATAAGTCTTACCATTAACCTAAGATAAGATTAGACTGATGAATTAACCACTTGAACTATAAAAGGTTATATACAAAACAAGATCTATCTAAACCAGAAACAGAATCTCTTATGAAGGTATTTATATACCTGATATTACCTTCTAAGCTGTTCCAATATGTCCATCACAGAAATATTCTGACTCCCATGTAGTATATTCCGTGGTACCCGTAGACCCATTTTTATCAAATTATTAACATCCGCCTGAAACTTCGTTAATAGCTTCATCTCATTATAACCTACAAATATTTTATTTACGAATATTCTCGGAATTGGGGTGTTTTCAATCTCGACATCATCAAACTTTGTTTATTTAATTAGATACTAAAAACTCTTAAATACACATTTGCTTTCCACTTGAATTGTAAGATAAATTGACCACAAACTCAAGAAAAATGGTGGTCTTCTAAAAATATTGAGTCGTTTGGTGTGATCTACATTCCCAAAATGTCAAAATTGGGTATATACGAGTTCTTAGAATCTAATTAAATAAACAAAGTTTGACGATCTCCAGATTGAAAACGTCCTAATTCTGAGAAATGTCTTAAATAAAATATTTGTAGGTTACGATGAGATGAAGCTATTTACAAAGTTTTGATGAATGAAGCTATTACAAAGACGGATGCTAATAATTTCATAAAAAAGGGTCTGTAAGTTTTTGTAATTTCTTCACCCTCATAATTTACTATAAAATGTTCTTGAATGTTTTAAACATTTTACAAAAAAGATTCATCTACTCATTACCTTGAATCTGAGAGAATCGATGGGAAGGACAGCCAAATCAACCGTGAAGGTATTGGGCCATGGATCTGCCATCGCACATTGGTTTGTAGCAACTTGAGAATTAGGTTACCCTCTTCTCCCTCTCCCCCAAGCAATGTATGTTTGTCGGACTAAAGATTTAATTAATATGAAGCTAATGAGTTTTTATTTTCTCTAGTAATTGACATAATTATTACTTCTCTCATTTTATTTTTTATTTTTTTTACATTGATTTACATTTTCAGATTGACCAAAACCATTATGAAATTCTTGAAAAGGAAGAAGATGTACATGTTTTGACTGGTGCCCTTAAATTATTCTTTCGGGAACTGAAAGAGCCCTTAATACCTTGCAAGTTGTTTACAAAAGCCATCAAAGCCAGTAGTTAGTATATTTATTTTTATTTTTTATGTACTAGATGTAGACACTTTTGTTTTTTGTTATTGTTCTATTATAATTTTAAGCATCTTAATATTGTGTATAGGAGAGGTGTATAAACAGAGAGAAGTGAGAGAAAGGGAAATTAAATGTTAAAAAGAAAGGAAAAAAAAAGCATGAACAATGAAAGGGGGAAAAAATTATATATATATATTTTTTATACTCATATAAACTAACCACTTCTGTATATTTATATATAAGTTTACTTATTGCCCTATGGATTAACGAGTATGCTGTGTATATAGCAACCCAATATAATTGGGCAGTAATCTTCTATATTTTATATGAAAATAAAGTGTTCTCTCTATTTTTTTTCCTGTTGACATTAGACCATGTTCTTTGCCACCATGTGTCTTTTTCCACCTTCACAAGCCTACTCAATCTCTGCCTGTCTTGGGCTATTTCTTTCCATTTATCTGTACGCAGCTCTGTTGCATCTTTATTGATTCTATCTAACCATCTGCTTTTTGCCCTTCCACATGGTCTTTTGCCTACTATTGAGGCATTCATTGTTACGTAGAAGTTTCCAGATGTATTGCTACATGCCCTGCCCATCTTAACCTCCATGCTTTCATATCATGGAATATTGATTGACTGTAAGCAGTTCTTTATTGGTCTTTCTTCTCCATGTGTTAGTACTCTGATCTCAGATCGCTCCGGTTATCGTGCAGAGCATTTTCCTCTCAAATTTTTCAACACTTTTCTAGGTTGCTGGTTAGTGTCCAGGTCTCACAGCCATATATTAGAACTGGCTTTATTATAGCATTGTACACTCTCAGTTTGAGATTTTTCAGGATTTCAATACCTTTGAGAGGGAGAAAAAAGCTCTGTTTACGTTAGTTATACACTTTTCTATTTCTGCCCATTGGTCATTCATTGAGGTTATTGTGGAGCCGAGTTATTTGAATTTTTCTACTCTCGGGAATGATTTTCCTTCTTGGCAGATTGTGATATTGGGGTGGAATTTTTCCTCTCTTATCAGTGTTGTAGCAAGTTTCTCAATGTTTTCTTGATTACTTCCAAGGACAGCTATATTACCTGCTTATCCAAGGATTTTATAATTTGTTCCGCCGTGGACCCCTCCATTTTCCTGTGATGTTCTCTTATTACATTCTCCAGGGCTAAGTTGAACATCGGTGATAGTCCATCTCCCTGCCATAAGCCCTTTCAAACTTCGAAGGCTTCAGTTACTTCTTGTATTATGACTCTACATTTGGGGTAATGACCTCATACAAATGTGTACACACCTTAGTCAATCTCACCAACTTACCAGGAATTCCCAGTTCAGTCATGATTTTCCAAAGACAGCTCCTGTCCACAGAATTATAGGCTGCTTTGAAATCGACAAATAGGGCGTGGATGTACTGAGCTACTTCCCATAGTTTTTTTAGTACTAGTTTTAGGATGTAGATCTGGTCTAGCGTGCTCCACTCTTTTCTGAATCTAGCTTGGTGTTCGTCTATTATATTCTCGTAATGCAGATATATCCAGTTTAGTAGGATATTGGTCATTATCTTGTAGGCTATCGGAAGGAGTGCTATGCCTCTGTAATTACTACACTCATACATGGAGCCTTTCTTTAGGATAGGACAGATTAGGCCCGTATTCCAAGCCTTGGGTATCCTTTCCGCTTCTTATATTTTCTGGATTAGTGGTAGTAACATGGCTCTTAAGTCATGTTTCCTCCGTCCATCTTAAACCTAAACCTCCATCTTTAAACAGTTCTGATGGTGGGTTGTCTATCCCTGGAACCTTTTTTGTTTTGAGCCTTCTGATAGATATTTCTACATCCAATATATCTGCTTTTTCAACCGTTTCTGGGTCAAGGTCGCCAGTGTGGTTCATGTCTTGTGTGGTCTCCATGATTGAGAAGTTCCTGGAAATGTTCTTTTCAAATGTTCCATATACTTTCTTTAGATGCCGTCAGAATGCCATCTGTTCCTCTCATTTTCGTATTTCTTGCTTTATATCCTACCTTTTCTTCCCTAATGTCTGCGTAGAATTCGCGTATATCTCCAGTCTGCCAGTTGTCCTCAATGGTTTGCAATCTTTATTTGAGAAATTTTCTTTTTGCCGATCTTATAGTTTTGTTTGCCTCTTTCTTGGCAGCTGTGTACTTGTCCTGAGCAACTTGATCAGTTTTACTTAGGCAGAGGACTTTCATTTTTCTTTTTTCTTCTGCTGCCTTTTCTTATGCTTGTGTGAACCATATCTTAGCTTTTCGTTTCTCCTGAATAGCGATCACTTCCTTAGCTGTTTCTTTTAGTCCTTTCTCTATTTCCTCCCAGTGTTGGTCCACCGTGAGGCTATCCGAATTCAAGGGTTCGAATTTATTTTTCAGCTCAAGTTGGAATTCGGTTTTTACTTCAGGATTTTTCAATTATATCTATTATATATAAATAGCATATTTATTATATCTTAATATATATATATCATATTTATATGTATATCTTATATTTATATCAATCTTTTCAAAATGGTTATAGATAGAATTTTTTTGTCTATTTATGACATTCACAAATACGTGATTCTGTCTTTTTGTTTTTAGCAACGCCAAATAGAAAAGAACGGATAAGTATGTTCCAGGATATTGTAAAAGCTTTACCACCAATCAATAGAGAAACTCTAAAATTCTTATTGCAGCATTTACTTAGGTATGAAATTTTCATTATAACATTGTCTGACATTGAATTGATAATATAATTTAAAAGTTGTTAAATATATATATTTAATAATTACAATTATAAAAACTATTTTTATCTGTATTATTTAATTATTTAATTATTGAAACAGTTTTAGATTTGACATTAGTAGCATATTTGTTTGGTGAACAATAATTTATTGAACCAATCACCTAGAAGCTGAGTGGCTTATTTAAATATTATCTCCAAAAAAAGCAAAGCCCTCGCTGCAGTTTATCTGTGCCTTCTTCAGATCCTTTTATTATAAATCTTACAGGGATTAAATCAAACAAAAATAAAAATGTTGAATTAATATAAATGTGCGTATAGATCCTCAGAATGGCTGTTACTGAGACGAAAAACAGTTAGCGGTTATTTATTTATTTATTTTTTTAAGAACAATATTAAGAGAAAGGAAATGGATTTTCAAATTTAGTATTTAATATAAAATTATAAAAAATAAATAAATAGTAAAGTAACCTAACAAGTAATGAGAATGTTTAAAGATGGGTTTTGCCCTGTTAAATTTTTTATTCTATTTTCGGATTCTACGTAACTTGAACCGTAAAACCTCAAATTTTGAGTGAGACTAACTTTTTTTTTCTCCTTGGTTGATTATTGAAAACAATAAGCTAAAGTGTGTGCGTGTCCATATTTAAGGTTTGTATGTATCTTGGATGTTAAAGCAACTTTTTCATCAAAATGTACTCACCGGAAGTGGCATTTTATATAATCAATTTAACATATTTTTACAATTTTTTCAAAAACGGCTGTTAACAATTTTGATTAAACTTAGAATATCAATGTTAAATTAAGCAGTTTTTAATATAATGTAGGTTTATCCTCATTGATGTTCTCTAACAGCACTTAAATGGCTAATTTTCAATATTAGCTTCCTCTAAAGTACCTTTAATTTTATTTATTTTAAATAATTAACCATTTCACATCTTTGATATAAAAAATAGTTAAGTATAAAATAAGCAGTCACCGCCTAGACTATTAGGCTTTGTTATAACCTACAAATAGATAGTTTTATTAACCCATCAGTTAATAATTGGCATAACTTCTACTAGCTTTGAACCTGACCAATACTATATTAATTAATACAATGCAGGTGATACTTTGACTGTTATGTTTCAGGGTGACACAGTTTCAGGAGCATAACAGAATGCATGTCGCTAACGTGGCTATAGTATTTGGTCCAACTCTAATGTGGCCTGAACAGGAATCGACAAACATGGCACTCGACCTCATGCAGCAGAATATGGTCATTGAAGCTCTGCTAATAGATTATCAAAGTATTTTTAAGTAGGGCTGCAAATACCAATACACTTTTAAAATTATTCCAAAGATATAGATATGCGAATTGCCTTTTTAAATGCTGTTGCATATTATTATTACTAATTATTTGTTTTCTTTCTTATTTTTTAATTGTTAATAAAAAGGATGGAGCTTTGAAATGTAAATTAGATTTTTGTTATTGTTGTAAAATTGTGGAAAAATCCTCTTTTTTTTTTTTTTTTTAAATTATCTCCATCGTCTTTTTTAAATTGTTGAGGTCTGCCAAAGAATTAGAAAGATTTATTATAGAAGAACATAGCTCAAGATGGGAACAGCTTTTTATACATTTTTTAAATATTGTTATGTAGTTCCTATTTGTGACCCTTTTGGAGCCAACAAACATTTTTTTGAAGTTCTTATTGTTGTTTGTAATTATTTTCTTCTTGATTATGTACTTTTTGTTTTAATTGTTTTCGAATTCTCCTGGCCGTCTTCTGGAAGTGATATATTGAGAATGAACCGTGCTTTAACATTCTTTTAAGTCATTCCATAGTAATGTTAAGACTAAGCCAATATATTATAAAAGTACTACTTAGTCCATGTAGTTGATAAGTTAACGTAAGAAAGTGATCTTATATATCTACAGCTTCCAAACTTTGTAATAAGTCAGGGGATGAAGTATAATGTTTGTAAATATCTAGATGTTGAGTAGAGCTATTCTAAAAGAAAGTATATATAAATAAATAAATATATGTATATTTTTTATGCACGCATGTCATGAGAATATTTTGAACTAATTGGCTGTTGTTTAAAGTATTATTTATGTACCTACAAACAATAAAAATTGATAAGCTTATAGATTTCGCAAAATAAATATTTGTTACATCAGATATAATATATAAAACCTTGTTACTAGTTATACAGACTCGATATATAAATAAATTGTTATAAATATGATTAATTGATTTTTTTAACCTTTTTTTTCTATTTATATCAGAGATAGGGATCATATAGAGAGAGAGTTTTTACTTAGACAATGACATTGTAGAATTGAAAGGAAAATTTATTTATGATAATAAATATATTTATTTTTAAGTTGTATATTAATCAGGATATTGAATGCAAAAGATATGTAAGTGAAAAACTGAAGTTTTGAAATATACAACACTTAAGGAAAAGTAATATAAAGTTTGTGATATGAAATAACAACTTACTTATTCTGTTAAAAATAGTTAGTTTCAAGCATATCTATCTATTTAAAAGCATTTAATGCTGGTTTAACAACTTAAACAATTCTTTATTATGAAAATGAATTACACAGCTGTTGTTATTTCCCATGCTGCAGGCTTACATTGTGTTAATTCTGGGTGATGGAAATTCGTATAATAATTCAGTTTTATCTAAAAGAAATTAAAAATCTTTAAGGACACTTTAATCACTATATTAGCAGGGAACATCTTCTATAATTAAGTGGCTGGGAACCAAACCACTGGACTCTCAACTCTCAGAGTGATACCTCCCTTTTCTTTAATAAATCATTTTCTCTGTGAATTTTCAATCTTATCAATAAACCTCTTTAGACAGGTTTCAACATTTTAAAAGACATCCTCCGGGGTTTTGAGAATAATAATACCAACATAGCATTCTAAACAGAACATAGCCCCCTTTCTAAAACTAAATAAAATAAATTAAAAATTTTTAATTTTCATCTTTATTTAAACAAAAGTAGTTAAATATGTATAAATAGGCATTATCATATAACAGTGTAGTGCAAAATATCGTAGTGTGTACCACAAAAAGATCTAGTAGTTAATGTTAAATAAAGAAAACGAGCAAGATAGTTTTTAAAACAAGACAGAACCCTACTGCAGCAACAAAAAGAGAGCTGCCGAAACTATTATCTAGAAATAATAAAAACATTTACATTTAAATTATATTTGTACCAGTCCGTAAAGAAAAGGAAAAGTTAAAATAGATTATAAGCTGAAAATGAAATTAACGAGTCCCAAACACCCCTTCAATTGTTCTATCACTATTAAGGGGTTTTGAGATTTTAAACAGAACATACAATATAAATACACGTTATCATAAAAATGGTAATTAGAAGGCATGCAATAGTACTCACATGTTTTTATTGACAATTCAACAAAGTTCTCCAACTCACTCATAAATTTACTTACCAAATGTCTGAATAGCTTTATAATTTAAAAATAATAGCAAATATAATGGGGAAAAAATACATATTTATCAGAAACAGAATTTTAAATTTATAAATTTAAGTAATATTTCAGACTGAATTAAATTATTTTAGTTTTTGGCAAATATTAATATTTTCAATTAAAAACATTTATACTTATCGAAATTGTGGAATATACTTTAAAAAAAAAACTGAATGAAATTCTCTTAATTTTTTCACTGTTATAAAGTGATAAACAAGCAATATAATTAATTGTGAGAGGAGGCAGCCACTGTATACATATAAAAATAGATGGCATGCACATGCTACATGCAAAAAATCTGCCCACTATGGAAATAAAAAAATTTACAACACTAAAAATAAAAATTTATAGTACTCACATGGCTGTTTTTTTTTTTTTTAAATCTGCAGTTCATTGAAGTTCCTCAACCCCTCATGACGAGTACCAAACTAATCTAATTTTTGAATAATCTTAAATTTTATTGAGTATTTAAAAACGGTGAAATCTTTTCTATGAAAAAATAATTGAACTTTTGTATAACAAATTTATTTTATTTAATATTCTCTAAGAAAAATTGTTTGCCTAATGAGAGCGGTTTCCCGCTGTAGTCTGTAAATCCTGAAATTTGCCATCACCTCTCACATTCAAATACTAAATTTAGAACTAAATAATTATTATTTAATAAAAAAAATAATCATCTACATAAAATAAAATCTGAATGAATTTTATTTTTAGAATATGGTAATTTTTAAATATTACAATTTTGAAAGTTAATCTAATGAATAGTGAGAGGCAATAGCAACGAGGAGCATATCAAAATGAACAACATTACATATCCACTGCACAACATGCACCATGAGCTTAGCCAGGGAAAGGCAAGTTGGGGTGGCTGACCATTTCCCCGATAATGACATAGAAAACATAGATAGCAACAAATATAATCCCAAATTACTGGAAAACTGATAGACAGTGACATCTTCATTTTGTATTTCAACATTTTGAAAGAAACTAATTACGAAAAAAATGACACCCTCCGCTTGAAATAAATTAAATTTAAAAACTTGCTCCCTCTTCCATTCTGTGGGAAATTTTTTTAGCTGGCTAAGTTCTTGCCTACTATATACATGCATTAAACACTACCAATCACCAGATTTGTAAAGATGAAACTGAAATTTGGCCATAGTTGTTATCATAGTTACAGTATAACAACGTTATGGGAGCCATTTTACGATTATCTGCTCAAAATGACCTGAGCCGAACTAGCAAGACTTGGCCAGAAGCAAAAGTGATTGCTACAAAAATAGCGGAATGGAACGCACCCATAAATTCATTATCTTCTGGTAGGAGTCAACAGTGATAGTGATAAATAAATAACACATAGAAAAACCAGTGGGGGAAATAATTCAGGCTTTCTATTGGAAAATATTAGCGCCTGTGGCTTATTCACCAGACTTGATTCCGTTCAAATACTATCTATTTGCATCGATGGGATACGACCGTGTGAAGTAATGCTTCAGTTGTTATGAAATATGCATATTCACATGATGACTGGATCACCTCAATACAGAAAGTTTTTATTGCTAAGCAATCATAAATTGATGGCGAGATGGGAAAAAAAGTATAGTAAATGTATATAAAAATATATATTTTTTAAATAAATTATTCTCTATACAAATTCTCCAGTTTCATATTTACACACCTGATAATAAAAAAACATGCGTTTTTCAAAGTGGGCAGGGACTATGGACCATCTCAAACATAGTTGTTTTGTTTTATATAAACTATATAAAAATTAAGGATCCTGTATGATTTATCTTTTCTGTGTTTAGCTCAAGGCTGTTGTAATTCTTTTAGTTAACTTAATTCTGTTTGAGTAATGGTCCATAAATACATGTTAAGAAAACGTCCTACCTTTTTTCTGCTCGAAGTTGGTCATGTGTCCTGGATATCTATGAGGAAAGCAACCATCCAGCAGATCTCTCTGTACGTTTCTTGGTTCTGTAATACCAAAAAGTATTATAATAAAACAATTACAGTTAAACATGTATAATTTAACCTATATAGAATTATTAAAAAGGTGGCCAACAGCTATGAGTGTTTCTCATTAAACATTTCAATGAATTTTAAATTATTTTAAGATGATCCTAAGAAATGTTTCTAAGATTTGACATTGGGGGAAGTGCCCCTAAAAGTCATCAGATATAAATAAAGAAGACAAAAATGCAATAATAAAGTTTTGGGAATTCTAAAGGGTTTTGAAGTTTCCTTGAAATAATAAATTTATCTAGAAAAACAAAAAGAATTTAAAAAAAAAATTTATATATCTGCCTACAATTATATATAAAACAAAAGCTTCAATAATTTTCAAAAATATTCTTATTGAATTTCCAAATTTTCCAAAATTTGGGTAATGTATTTTCAACAAAAATTTTTTTTGAAATTTTAAGATTTTCAAGTTACAAAAAGATTTGATGAATAAAACAAAATGTTTAACAAAACAGAAAATAAATGATGAAAACCATAATATTTTTTATATATTATAAAAACAATTCACTGGCTATAATTTTGTTTATACAATTAATTTATATATAAATAAGAAAAAATATACCATTACAACTCATGGAAAGTCTTGAGTTCATTAATTTGTTAGAATAGTTTCCTGGCCAACGTTTCAAGGAGGTGATTTACAGATATCATACTCTACAGCCAGATTTTTCTCCTTAATTAATCATTATTTAAGAGTACTGACATTATAGAGGCTGAGTTTGTCCTGGGGTCCCTGGACCACAAGATCATTCGACTGCTGACATAACAGAATAAGTAATTACTAGCAACAGCCAGGCTTGAACCTGGGAAATGGAGCATTGGAGTACCGTGCCTTACTCACTAAGCTATCACGCTACTCTTTTTCAGAAAAAAAAAACAATAAACAAAAAAATACATTAGGATTGTAAATCTTTAAACTCTAGAACTCAAAACTAAAACATTCTGAATAATGATTTTAATATTTTTTATCTACACCAATCGAAACATACACTGTTTGTGTGTGTGTGTGTTTGTGTGCATATTTAATTTATATAAGAATCCATATAAATTCAAAACTCCGATACTAAGTAGTCGCTTGGATACTACCTAAGTTGTATCGAGTTTTTTTAATTGACATTATTTGATTAAATGCTAAGATAAAATTTAGTTTTGTATTATTGTTCTGAAAGTAAACAATAATAAAATTATATAATATGGAAATATGTTAGATATATCATCAACTTTTGATAGTTGGATAATGAGCTATAATATGATATTCTTTATATATATATATATATATATATAGGCTATAATATTCTTTTGTAGGGACCACTGCTCTGCTCCAGTATTATAAAATTATAGTTTATGATTTCATATTAATGATGTTAGTTGTTTAATTTTACTGAATATAGTTAGGACTACAATCTAACTGGTAAGAATGCCTTGCTTTTACTATTCATAAATTAATATTTAATGTTACATGTTTATACATACATATATAAATGAATTTCCACGAAACATTGCAATGTCCTAAATAAATGGAAAAATTTTAAGGGCAATTCATTTTCTTGAAAATACCTTATGTGTGTGTGCAAGCTACTTTTGATTATGAGAGTAGCTTAATATTTGTGCTAATGGACGGTGTTGAGACTGTTGGTTTGTCTCTGGCCTGAGGTATCCAGGCTCTATTTTAAAACTTTGAAGAGGATCCCATTGTTAAGTTAAAAAAATCGA